TGCGTATAACACCCAGTGCTCCATTCAATACGTGCCCTCTTTAATACCCATCACCAGGCTAACCCAGCCCCCTAACCCCCTCCCCTCTAGAACCCTCAGTTTGTTTCTCAGAGTCCATAGTCTCTCATGGTTCATCTCCCCCTCCGATTTCCCCCCCTTCATTTTTCCCTTCCTACTATCTTCTCTTTTTTTTTTTTTAACATATAACGTATTATTTGTTTCAGGGGTACAGGTCTGTGATTCAACAGTCTTACACAATTCACAGCACTCACCATAGCACATACCCTCTGCAATGTCTATCACCCAGCCACCCCATCCCTCCCACCCCCCACCACTCCAGCAACCCTCAGTTTGTTTCCTGAGATTAAGAATTCCTCATATCAGTGAGATCATATGATACATGTCTTTCTCTGATTGACTTAAAGAACAAATAATCCAATCAAGAAATGGGCAGAAGATATGAACAGACATTTTTCCAAGGAAGACATCCAAATGGCCAACAGACACATGAAAAAGTGCTCACCATCGCTCGGCATCAGGGAAATCCAAAAGCAGAAGCTTAACAGACTGAGCCACCCAGGCGCCCTCCTGCATGGCTTTTAAAGATCAGCAAAGAAGGGGCGCCTGGGTGGCTCAGTGGTTGGGCGTCTGCCTTCGGCTTGGGTCATGATCCCAAGGTCCTGGGATGGAGCCCTGCGTCGGGCTCCCTGCTTGGCAGGAAGCCTGCTTCTCCCTTTCCCACTCTCCCTGTTTGTGTTCCTGCTCTCTCTATCTGCTATCTCTCTCTCTGTCAAATAAATAAAATCCTAAAAAAAAAAAAAAAAAGCAGCAAAGAAGAAAAAATACACAGCTTCCCTTATTAATCTATCTCAGAGGTTTCTAGATTCATTGTAACATCGAATAAAGTTATTGAGACCCACAGTGCATGTCTGAAACTTTAGTCCCCGTGTTTCCAAATTCAGAAATTTGTAGGTTTTAGACAGTGATTCGGGGTATTCCTGCACACCATGTCAGCGTCTGGGGGGGCACCGGGAGCCCCGTTTCTTACCGTGCCTGCGCCAGAACATGGATATGTGCACCACGTGGAACAGAGAAAGGTCAAACATTGCCTTGGGTGAAAAGTTTAGGTTTGCCACCAGCTGGGTTAAGAAATGTCCATTTCTTAGAGCTTTTCAGACTTGGGAATTGTGGATCATGAGGACTCTTTTACTTATGAAGTCCCTCCCCCTGGGGAACTTGAGCTTCATGATGGGAGGCATGGAGACATTATTAGTGTGACACGAGCATCGTGTTGCCTTTTCTGAATTTCAGGGCAGTGCTCCCTGTTTAGTGCTCTTTAGTGTTTTAGTACCATGTGCCTCGAAACCCCTAGATGCAGGAAGAATTCTGCTGCACTAAGCATGTTCTCTTTGCCCCAGATTTGTCCCGCAAATTATGGACATCTCCTGAAAAAGTATTTCCTCACTTTTTTTTTTTTAAGATTTTATTTATTTATTTTGACAGAGAGAGACACAGCGAGAGAGGGAACACAAGCAGGGGGAGTGGGAGAGGGAGAAGCAGGCTTCCCGCTGAGCAAGGAGCCCGATGCGGGGCTCGATCCCAGGACCCTGGGATCATGACCTGAGCCGAAGGCAGATGCTTAACAACTGAGCCACCCAGGCGCCCCTCCTCACTTTTTTAAAGGAAAACAAACCCGTGTGGATTTTGCTAATTTGCTCTCAAATTTGATTTTTGCTTCCTTGGCTTTATGGTGTCTTAGTTAAATTTGTCGTTGCTGTTATTCAGGCAAATTCCCCGTTTGATGTATTCCTAGAAATCTTAGAAAGTTTTCTTAGTAGATCATTCAAACTTCCTATGTTTGATGAGCAGTGTAGGTGGTAGAAGAGAGACCCATCATCTCAAAGAGCCCCCTAAACCAAAGACTGGCGCAGCATCGGGAGTCCCCTTTTTTTGCTGGCAACATTAATAACTACCTAAAAGTTTTTAATAGAATCTGGTTAACAGGGCACCTGGGTGGCTCAGTCATTTAAGTGTCTGCCTTCGGCTCGGGTCATGATCCCAGGGTCCTGGGATCGAGTGCCACATCAGGCTCCCTGCTCAGCGGGGAGTCTGCTTGTCCCTCTCTCTTTCAAATAAATAAATAAATAAATCTTTTAAGAAAAAGAATCTGGTTAATGTTTAAAATAAGAAAAACTTCGGTTTTATTCTCAGTTTAGCAAATGACTCTCCAAGAGACCATTTTTCTTTTTCTAAAAATGAAACATGAACTGTTTTCGAGTGTCTTCTAAGTTAGCATTTATCAGGTGCACTGAACTCTGGGGGAGATGTCCAAGTCAGTGGAAGATCCTGAGAGAGGAAGCTGGGAACTTCTAGCATATTCATTAGGTTTTAGCTTCTCACACTTCTGGAGATGGGGTGACCAGGTCTCCCATCGGGGCAACTGTGTGATACACGGCCACAGAGCGGGGCCAGATCATTCCACAGGGCTGACTACCTCTAAGTTAGTGCAGATGTTTACGGAGAGCAGAAAGGCAAATAGAACATTTCTACATAGTTGTCCTTTAGGAAGGATTAAGAGCCATGGATCCCTTCCAGAATGTAATGGATTTGGACGGGCTTCACGCCTTAGTGATTTCTTGTTATATTTGTCTGTGTAACCTTGCCCTGGGGGAGAGCTGGAGAAGCCCCTGCAGGCTCCAGCGAGGAAGTCAAGCCTGTGATTGTCATCGGGGAAACCTGTTTGCCAACAAACTAGTGTTTGGTGGGTAAGACAATCCCTTCCTCCTTGAGTTCCTTCCTTCCCCAAATATACTCTAAATGGGATGAGTGTGAGTAAACCCAAACTCCAGCTTCAGCTTCACTGCTTCTCCCACAGCTTTGGCCAGTAAAAGTTCATCCCCAAAGAGTGCTTTTCAATATTTACAGAGACTCAAATCCCTGTTATCGGGGTGCTTGTACTTAAAAGGGGAGAGGTAAGCTCCATAAATTCATCATTTGGGCTCTCCAGCGTTTGGTGAACTGAATATTTTACACTATGCCTTCATAGCATGGGATTAAAAATTTCAAACTCTGCTTGGGAACTGAATTGTCCTGAACACAGGAAGCTTCACTGTTTGAAAACCTCCAGGGACTAACCATTGCCTACTGGATGCGTTTGAACTCCCTGAGCCTGGAATTGAAGGTCCTCACAATTCTGTGCCTAATCTGCCTAGCAGTTGGCCTAATTTCCCCTCACCACCCCCTGCCACACACACTCCAATTGATCTTCCTGGCTCAGCGTACCTGCCACCACACTCCACTGTGTCCCACCAAGGAGAAAAGGATATTCCTAGGAATATCCGTACAGACCCTGCCCCAAAGCTTGCTCTTCCCCAAGAGCCCAGGGGGCTCTCTTTCCTCTGAGCTACTGAATTCGTTGAGTCAACGTGATCAAACGCTGCCCTTACATTCAGTTACCTTTCTGTTCGCACGTCCTGCCTGCCCACTAACTCGTGAGCCCCTCTCGGATGAGGACTGTGGCTTATCATTTTTGCATCCCCTGCACTACCTTCCCTACAGCAGGGGCTCCCCAAATACCTTCAGCTTCTTAGTGATTAATTGATAAATCCTTGCCTTAGCACTTAGGTGATAACAGTTGAAATACTTGGATTTATTGATTCGAACAGTAGCAAGTTGAGCCTTCTGGTTGGTTGGTTCAAAGCCAAGGACTCACAAACATCGCCCGTACCGTTTCTCACTCCACTTGGGAAACGCCCTTTCTGCGAGCGGCTGTGTCCCCAGCCAACATCCGTGTGTTTCTTTGTCACAACATCGATGAACTGAAAGTATTGGAGTGGTTTTGCCCAGTGGCACGGGGTATCCCCAGGGGAGCTGCTGATCCATTGCCGAGGACAGCATTCCCGGCTGGGTGGGATCTCACGGAGGGCGCGTCCTCCGGTGAGCAGCATGGGTGTTGGGGGGTTTGCTGTGCAGATGCCTCGGGGGTTCCCTGTCTGTGACTGTGCTTCTCCTTCCTCCATATCTATTTACTGAACTCCTAACTCATTGCTCTTCTGATGTTATTGCCCAGCGTCCCAGTGACCAAAATCTGCCTTGCTTTGTGTGAGAGCACAGAAGTTAGAACTGAGGACCAAGGCAGGCTCTGTGGGGTGAGCCTCCGCCAGCCTCACAGGGGCCATGAGATGCTTGCTGGACCTCTAAATACCAAAACCGCCCCGGGGCGGAGGCCAGGGATTGCGTCTGGAGGTAGAGTGGGTACAAACGGCAAATTCACTGGCCCAGTGGGCGTGCAGGGCTACTGAGTGTGCGGACTGGAGTGAAGGCTCTGAAAAGCACTGGGTAAAACCCAGAAGAGTTTTAAGTGTCCTTCAGACCTGAGAACATGTGAGTCTGGGGGGAAAAGGATTTCTGGTGCCAGGACCTCCTACCAGTACCAGATAATCCACTTCCCACTCTCAGAGTCATTTACAGGCCTTATCAAAAGCAAAAGTTATTTGTCATATTTTGGACAACAGTTTCCAGCGTGTGGTCAATCCAAGCCAAGAAAACTAGCATTGGGTGTCAGCAAGGGAAACAGCTCTCAAGGAGAAGCAGTCCATTCTCGGAGGCCCTTGAGCCCCTGCCGGATCCCTGGGAGCTTCTCCCACAGGACCCTGGTGACCCTTCTTCTCCCAGATTCGTGCCACTCGGGGGGCACTGGGTCTGTGTCCCGCTCCGTGTAGCGGCCTCCTGTGAGCAGTCTGCTCTGCCCTATTCCGCACCCCAGGGGAGAGGGCCGCTGGACCCTGCACCCTGTGTGTTCTCTTTCCTCTTTATTAAATAAATTAATTAAAAGGGAGCACCCCTTCCTCCCCGCCCCCGACTTTTCATTCAAAGGGAACAGATATGGGGTCTCTCGGCCAAGGCTCCTGGGTCAGGTCAGATCCCAGAGCACGCGGTGGCTTTCTTGGATGGAGGGTGAGCCATTCCTTGGCATTCTCTGTCCCCTCCCTCTCTTCCAGCAATGAGGTGGTGAGGAGTGACTTGAAGAAGTTGCCTGCGCTTCCCACTCAAGCCCTGAAGGAGCACCCTTCCCTGGCCTACTGGTAAGCTGCACCCCCTCCACACACCCCTCAGGAGCAAGCCCGCACGGGGCGCCGGGGGGTTCGGGATGGCCGAGGGTCAGGCTGGACCCCAGCCCGACCGACTCCATCTTGTCTGAGTGGCTTGGGCCTCAGTCAGACCATTTCCCGCATGTATTTAGATGCCATGGTTTGCGTGAGATCTCCTTTTTTTCTGTTTTCTTTAACAAGAGGAAAAAAAAAAACCTTCTAAAATTTCACTTTAGATGCTTTGCAAACTCCTTGGAGACCCTTTCATGTGCTGCTCGAGTTTCGTACTGGAATCCTTGTCATTTGATGACAGGATGTGTGAGGTTTTGAGATGTGGGAGGACTACGGGGCTGTTGTTTTTTTTTCTTCGCAGAAGAGAGAGATTGATTCTTCGATTTTCCCACAATGTTTCATATCTCCTGATTTGGCTGCCATGTAACATTCCGCCCTAGTTCATCTGCCAGGCCCTGAATTACTGATTCTGAACAAAACGGGCATGCGAAAGGGTCCCGGATTACGGTTCTGGTCACAGTGGAGCGGGGCCTGCATTCCTGGGTGATGTGCGCAAACTCTGTGTGCACGGGCCCTGGCCACTGCCCACCCCCCCGACAGGCAGCGTGCCGCGTCCCTCATGTCCCTCTGACTTGCAGTGAGCGTTGACTGCTTTTATAAACAACAACAATAATAAAATAATAAGAATAAATAAATAATAAAACAACAATAATAATAAAACAAAAATCGCAGAACAGGTCAGTCCTGATCGATTGTATCATGTGACTCTTCTAAGCACTTCTTTACTCTGCTTTATGAAACGTACGGATTACTAACATGTCATCACCTCTGGACACGTTTGCAGTCGGCACACTCGTGGCTCAGCCATGCAGGTGGCTCTGAGAGCCCCCTTTGGCTGGAATGGGACATGCTTCGAGGGCATTAGCCGGATGAAACTCCAGTGCAGAAGTCGGTTCTCCTCAAGAGACCACATGATGGGGTAGTGGGAGCAGAAATGAGAAGCCGAGTCCTGGGGCAGAGAGCTCCCTCCCGGCTGCTGGCCTGCCCCAGTCTCATCTCTCTGAGCTGTTTTTTGCCATTCATCCTTTGCTAACACAGGTGTCGATATCCTGTGGCTTTATAGAATTATAATCTGCCCCCCAGAACACAATCTGTTTAGCATGCCACTGTGCCTTCTTCCGGCTTGGCTGTCTGCACATGGGAACACCAACAGATGACACTCTTGTTCCCTTGTCCCTGGAGCCCTGTTGCCCTCTCCCGGTCCCCTACGCTCCCTGGGCCTTATGTTCTGGGCCCCACCCCCAGCTGTTCACGTTTAGGGAACCAATAGCGAAGGAGCTAGAGACACAAGACTATAACTCTGAAGACCAATAGTTCCTCCACCAAGGGGCTGTATTCGCCGGCTGGGGGCTGTGGCGTTGCTGGGTTGTCTGGGGTCAAAGTTGCTTCCAGCCTAAACCAGCCCTCAACCATCTCCTCATTCAGTTGTTTCCAGACACTTTGTACACCCTGTGCTTACCAACTCCTTCTCTCTCAATCTCCCTCTCGCTCTCTTTCTCCCTCCCTCTCGATCCCTCTCCATCTCTCTCTGGATTTCTCTTTAATTATCTCCACAGTCGGCTCCATGCTCACACGTTATTACTAATACAGAAATGCCTTTCTTCATGTTCCTATCTTCTCTTGTGTCAACATGAACATCTTTGTCTTTACCCACATCTATACCTATCTTGCCAGAGCATCCCTCTGTCTCTGTGACCTGGCTGGCACTTTCCCTGGGCCTCATGTAGACCCAGGGGCACACAGAGAGGATGCAGAACTGGGGAGGAGGGAGCATTTTTGAAGCGGGTGCCTCCAGGCTCCACAGCCCAGCTGTATACAGACAAGCCAGCAGCATGGACCATCCCGTTGATTCATTGCTAAAAAAACACCTTATTTTGCTGTGGTTGGCTAGTTGTAGTTGGCCTTCATATTCCAACCTACTTATCTGGACTTTTAAAAAAGCAGAGATTTCAGGAAGGGATGAGTGATGTTCGTGCTTCATAGAGCTGGCAGCCAAGCATGTTCAAAGATGTCCCTTGGCCTCAGCATCATGCATCTCTATGAGTAAACATGACCCCTTGTTGGTGGAGGAGACCTTCACTTGCCCTGACATCACAATCTCTATCCAGCTGCCTGCAGCCCTGATCATCCCCGAATGGAGGACACAGATTTGCAGTTCTTCCAGGCTCTCCCGCTCTTGCTGGCCTTCTCAGATGTGGCAGACAATCGTCAGGCCAGAATAAGCCATAGGGAGCCCATCCACACTAGCCAGGAAAGGCATTACAGCCTAGAGAGCAAAGCCGTGGGTTTTAGAATCCCAGCCACGTTTCTGAACAGTGGGGTAAAGACAGCTCGGGGAAGCTTGAATTACTTCTCCGCTGCCTCAGTTTCCCAGCTATAAAACGGAATTAACCATACCAACCCAATCCAGACTGTGATGAAGAGCAGAAGTAAGAAGTCACATGATGCAATTAGCAAATAGTGAAAGGTACATCATAATGTTGCGTAATCGTGCCGTAATCCTTTCTGCTAATTTTCCCCAAGCGTGTATGTAACAAGCTTGGACTTCTACTCCACGGGATTTCCCTATCGGGAGGCATCTGAGGCAGAGGTTAGAATTATGTGCCCAGCATATTGAACGGAGCACTGGGTGTTATACGCAAACAATGAATCATGGAACACTGCATCAAAAACTAATGGTGTAATGTATGGTGATTAACATAATAAAATAAAATTAAAAAAAAAGAGTTATGTGCTCAGGGCCACAGAACAGAGCTGTATGAGGGCCCTGACCTGGATTACTCTCCAGGGCCAAGTTCGCAAACGCTGAACGCCCCCCTCCCACACACCACCCATACCAGATATGCAGGGGCACCAGCCTTTCCTCCAAAATCACTGCCCACTGCAGGCGATGGCTCGCCCAAGACAGGAAACCATATCGCCATCCCCATGTTTCCTCCTAATCCCCCATGCATTGCCTGGGCCCCTTACCTGCGGAGAGATGACCTCACTGAAAGACTATGGCTATGGCGAGTCACAGTCAGCCTTAATCACCTGTCTTTTTCCTTCATGCAGCACAGAGTCCTCCAATTAGGGTTTTGGGATTCTGTTTACTCCAGCTGGTGCATTTTTTTATAGTTATTCCACTGAGTCCCTACCACAGCTTGGGGGTCGCTGGGAAACTCTGCAAAGCTCAGCGCACTTGAGCCATCTGTAAATTCCAGAGGAAGTAGGGGTGGGGCTGGGGGCAGAGCGGGTTCTCAGTCAGCCTGGCCTGTGTATCCACAGGATGGGCCCACGGTGTTTCGATTGGGCCCAAAGAAGTGGGAAAAGCTGAGGAAGGAGAAGCTAGATATGGTGGCCTCACCGATGGAGGAACTCCAGGGAGCAGTGGGGGTGGCCGAACCCTGCAGCTGTCGAGCACTGAGAAGACTTTAGTCGGGAAGCAGCTAAACAGCTGCCTACCCGTGTTTCTGACTTTCCCTGGTGTTGGTCTGAGCCTCGACTGTGTAGCTGGGAAGCTACGGCACTACACTGATTTCGATCGTCCTGGCCCAGCCCGGGGATCCTCCCTCCCAGAGCTCTGAAGGGAATTGGCTCAGATCTACACTGAGTTGCTTGAGCCTGGATCCATCCAAGAGTTGACCTCACAAAATGCTAGATCTTATGGTAGAAACATCCCAACACAGCCGTTGATTCAGTGGGTGGGAGGAGAGCAAGCTAGGAGAGCAACCCCCGAATGTCTCGACATGACCCCGAAGGTCTGGTGAGGTGGGGTTCTCCCCAGGCAGGACGCTGCTGGAGAATTCTCTCGGGAGGGGGCTTTCTCACACTCCGAGTAGAGCGTCCAGGGTTGCCAGGGAGCCGAGGAGAAACAGAGCTGCACCTGCCCCTTTGTGAACAGAGGGGGTCCAGACCCCGTCCAAATGACTCTGCAATGAGAGAAGGGCTCCTTGTAGCTAGCCAGTTCCTGTTCTGGGTGTTTGTAAGGACACTTGCTTGTGAAGAGTCAGATGATCATACACACACCAGATTTCAGAATACTAAAATGAAGAGACAGCCATTAAAGATTAAGATAATAATTGGCAAAACAATAAATGACCCCCAAGTAGTAGTGAGTGAACATATAGGACACATTACCCCCCAGAAATGGCCTTTTTTTTTCCTAAAAAAAAATGTTGGCGAGAAAAGGCTTTAGATCAACTCTGGGATACTAAATAATAGGTAATGAAGGCCAACCAGGGAGGTCTAGAGGGTTCATCCCTAGGGCTGCGTCCTGCCACACCACCAGGAGCCCACTGGCCTGAGGTGAGGGAGGCGTAAGGCAGAAGGTGGAAAAATGGGGCTCCTGGTGGTGTGGCCGGGTCGCAGAGGCCCAGTGTTTTGGACTTGACTTCTCAGCAGGTGGGATGTGCTTCCAAAGCCAGCGGCCATAGCTCCCTGGGCACCAGAGTCACTTCTCAGAGAGTCCCTTCATGGCCTCTGCCCTGTCAAAGAGCCGTTTGGCTGGCCAGTGTCTCCCAAGGCACAAGCTGGTCTCTTGTTTTAGAAGTAAGATTTCAGGAGATCAAGGTGTTCCCTATGCACTTCTCGTAGCTGGTTTGTTTCCCAGTGCTTCTCTGGGCCTTTTATTGTCTTGTGGTTTGTGTTAGCCAGACCCAGATTCCAGAACTTTCCCATCCTCCTTGGAAGCCCTCAACCCTGACCACTAATTCATGATAGGGAAGTCGTGGGCATTCTGTTGAGGTCAATGTCTGCCCCGCCCCCCCCTTTGTCCTGCTACTGTGAGGCCCTGTGCACACAGGATTTGGGAGATGAGGAGGGCAAGGAAGACATGTGGGCATTCAGAACATCCGCCCTGATCCCCAGTCTCCCTCACGTCCCCCGTTCTGCGTCCCTCTCCAGTGACACGCATGCTCATTGCTGCTTCCTCACCTCACATGGTAGCATTTCTTACAGGGAGCTGACCCCAAGGAGATCTGTAGCCCCAGGCACCTCACTTGGGCTGAGTTCAGAAATGCCACGCAGGATAAATCATTTCTCCAGGAGCTGTTGGCTCCTTGGAGCTTCTCCGGAGATTGCTCAGGCTCGGAAGAAGTATCTCCATTAGCTGGGTGCTGGCCGGTGACCCAGGGACCATATATAACAGAATCTTTGTCTTTTAATTCTAGCGAGGATCGAGTAATTGAACACTACAAGAAACTGAATGGCCAGACCAGAGGTCAAGCAATTGTAAAGTAAGTGGCCCGTCTCGGTGCCTGTGAGGTTGTGTTTGTGTGTGTTCACACAGCATGTGTCACGGCTGTTCGGTTCTGCTCGCAAAGACCAATCTCCGGGGGGCAATGAATGGTTCAGGGTCATTTTCAAGTAAATCATCACTCCGAGAGCTTTGTCATGCACACACACACACACACACACGTATATGATTCCAGTTCTGCCGAATAACCACCCTCGTGTGTGTGTGTGTGTGTGTGTGTGTCTGTCTGTCTTCCCAGCTACATGAGCATCGTGGAGTCTCTCCCAACCTACGGGGTTCACTACTACGCAGTGAAGGTAAGTGCCAAGCCTGCCCTTAAAAAAAACATACAAGCAACTCTCACTTTTTTCCTTTTTAATCTGACTGAAGATGTGGTGGGGGGCTGGAGATGGGCGAGGCGGAGGACTGGGTCAGGAGGATTGTGTGCTGGGGGAGCTGGGGCACTGGAACTTTCCCCTGTGTAGGAAGACTTGATGCAGTTTCTCTTCAAAACTCATGTTCCCAGGGCGCCTGGGTGGCTCAGTTGGTTGAGTGACTGCCTTCGGCTCAGGTCATGATTCTGGAGTCCCTGGATCGAGTCCCACATCGGGCTCCCTGCTCGGCGGGGAGTCTGCTTCTCCCTCTGACCCTCCCCCCTCTCATGTACTCGCTCGCTCTCATTCTCTCTCTCTCAAATAAATAAATAAAAATCTTAAAAAAAAAAAAAAACTCATGTTCCCTCCTGTAAAGTGGGTATAATAAATCACTACTTCCTTTTAGACTCAGAAGAATCCTGGGAGGTCGGGACTGCAGAGCTTCTGGGTGTGGAAGTCCAGTGGAACATGGACCCTATTCCAAACTCACTTTAATTTTATCCACAATGCCCCTGCCTGGGATCCCTTCCCTGAAATAATAGATAATGATGTGCTGGTGCGCCCTTATCTATGATGAGAAAGGATAATTTTCCTCCCTCCACTTACCCCAACATGAAAAGTGTAAGTCCAGCCACAAAGAGCAGAAAATACTCCTGAATGCAAGACAGTTCCCCCCAATCCAAACTGAGAGTCTCTTGCTTCTTGGCCAGTTTTTTTCCCCATGTTTCCATCCAGCTGTATTTTTAATTCCTTTGGGCCGGAACGTGCTCCGTGTTTCCTGTATCTTTGTGTCCCTCGTGGCAGCCCGCACAACACTTTGCGTAGCCTTGGTAGGGTAGATGTTCGACTATAGACAGAGTGGAAATCTTGGAGGAGAGACTTCATCTGGTCTTTTCCTTGTGTAAACGCATGTCCCATCTCTTTGTCAGCCCCGGTGCCTGACAAAAGGTGGCTTCTGATGTATGTGCTCTCTGCCTTACAATAAAACTTGAGAAACAGGCTCTTTTGCAATCCGTGAGAGCAGAAGCAGACCTTGTGATGTGCAGAGCTCCAGAAGTGTGTGCATGTTTGGCCCTCAGAATCTCTGGGCTTAAGCAACTGCACTCCTACTTATTTGGAGAAAGAGCAAGCCCACACCAACTGTCTCCAGCCTCGCCAGTTGGTGGCCCCGTGATGTCACAGATGCTGGGTTCTGTGGCGTGGTGACCACTAACCTGGTCACCCCGGAGCTGCGGTGGTCTTGAATCCCCCCCTTGTGCTGCTCTCTGGAACTGTTGCAAGACACACAGGCACTTTCCAGAGACAGACGTTTTATACCTTAAAAAAAAATCTGTAGGAAATCATATACCCTGAAACTTTTCTAAAAATTCCAAATGTATTTCCTTGCCCCTTTTTATCTTTGTGCCTACCTTAAGATAACTCATGGGTATTTGAAAGGCATGAAGCCAATTTTGAGTTGCTAAGACATCTACAATGGGGTGAACTAGGTTATTCATGGTGTGGCAATTAGGACAAATGTAGGGGGGAGGCTGCTTCCTATGCCCGTTCGGCTCCTAGCATTCAGGAGCTGTAATTAACAGCTCAGAGTCATCCCTACCTGAATGTAGGATCACAGTTTACGATCTGGTGGCAAGAGGTCTCTGTTAAAGGAATAAAGAGAGGGACTTGGTGTTTCTAATTCAGGTCTCGGAAGATCTAGGCTTCGATTTTGCTACTTTTGTCTGACAGCATGAGTCACTCAGCCCAGCAGATCCCTTAAGATGAGCAGGACCACATGGTGGCCCCTGCCATTGGCCTGCTGGAGAGATGGGGTGGGTCCTGAATAGAGCAGGACCAACCCTTTGCTTTGACTTCTTTGTCTTTAAAATTGGAGGAATCTTAAATGCATATTACTGAGTGAAAGAAGCCAAGGTGAAAAGGCTACATACTGTGTGATTCCAACGATATGACATTCTGGACGAGGCAAAACTGGTTGCCGGAACCTGGGAGGGGGAGAACACAGGATTTTTAGGGCAGTGAAGCTACTCGGCGTGATATTATTATAATGGATACACATCATTATACATTTGTCCAAACTCATAGAGGATTCCACACCAAGAATGAACCCTAATGTAAACTCTGGACTTTGGGTGACCATGATGTATCAATGTAGGTTCATCAAGTTATAAGAAATGTTCCCCTCTGGTGGGGATGTTGATAGCAGGGGAGACTCTGCAGGTATGGGGGCAGGGGTGTATGGGACATCTCTGTACTTGCCTCTCCATTTTGCTATGAACCTCAGAATTCTCTAAAAAAAAATGAATAAAGAAAGTCTTTAAAAAAGTTTTTTAGAAGAGTCACCTTCTCCACGGTCCCTTCTAGCTCTGATAGTCGATGACAGTTTCTCGGCTCAGAAGGTCGTTTTATTAGAATGCTCTCAGATTTTCTGTTGTGGTGAAACCTGGAGTCTTAGAAGGAGGACCAAGAGCAAGGCATTTGTCACTTACTCATAAAGGGGGACGGGGAGGATCACGATGTGCTGCTGGTTAGGAACAGAGCTGGGTCCCCACCCCAGGGCATGTTACATGGCACTTGTTCATGTAACTGAGCATCATCTGATGATGTGGCGCATCTGTTAAGGTGAAAAGGAGAGAGGTGGGCTCCATCTGTATCAAGGGATTTGTATTTTCCTCTGTTATCGCATGAGCCAGAGGCCTCCCCTTGGTTCCCATGTGTGTTCTCTGGCCCTGTATTTACCCGCGCTCCTTTCCGTGTCCTAGGACAAGCAGGGGATACCATGGTGGCTGGGACTGAGCTACAAAGGAATCTTCCAATATGACTACCACGATAAAGTGAAGCCACGGAAGGTAAGCATTCTCTCCTCTGCGGGCGGATGGCCCGCAGAGAGAAGTGAGTAAAAATATTACACCGTGCAGCCTCGGGGCCTCCGGGCTCACCAATCCCCTGCTAATTTGAGTGTATACAAATTACTCTACAGTCATCCAGTCTGAGTTCCCGGGTAAATATTTTTTCTCCCGGTCACTAGGGAAACCTGAGCTGTTATGATTATTTAAGGTAAGGAGACGGGCCCAGCTCTCCCAAAGCAGATGGCCAAAAGGGCTTTGAGGGACTGTCCTGTTCCTTCATTTCCTGGCTGGGGAGGATGGGGGTTCTGTGCCCTTGGGAAAGGGAGGGAACATCTCTCTTCGGTCCTGAGGCCAATCTGAGCTTTCCCAAAGCTTGTCGGTGTGCTTTGTTGGGTTTTTGTTTTGTTTTGTTTTGTTTTGTTTGGGGTTTTTTTGGGGGGGGGGTTGGTGGCGGGGAGCTAAAAGAAGAAATTGTAGGTCAAAACAGGGTGAAAATTAAAGAAGAGTCAGAGGCGTTCCTGCAAATCGGGTAAATACTTTATGGCATATTAGAAGTGATCAGAAATCTGGAAAAAATAAGGTCATTTGCCAAAAGAAAGGGAAGCAGAGCGGGGTCTGCAAGGCCATCATAAACACAAAATAGAATGTTTGAAGGGGACACAGTGCTTGACTTTTCTCTGTTTTCATTTACACACATTTTTCAGACCAGAACAAATTGAAAAATTATAATGGAAAAATATCTCTGGGCTAGCGCTGTCATTCAGATCCTCTGGCAGAGAATAATGGAGAAGACAGTATGCAGTTCAAGCCCCAAAATACATATTAAAAGTCTATCAAAACCACACTTGCTGTGGGAGAGAGAAAGCAATATTGGTCCATTATGTCATTCTGGATTGCTTTCCAAAAAGCTTCTTTATCCACGAACGGGATGGAAATCCATGCTACATATCTGAGCTTATCGTAGGCTGTCTGCTTAGCATCTGCCTTAGCCAGCTTCTTTATTAAAATGATAGGGGGAAAAAATGGCCCTTGGCTAGGGAGGATTTTCACTCTGTTGATCAGTAAGTCAGTTAAGTTCAAAGAAAAGATCCTGAGCAAGTGAGGGGGGTGCTCTCCCTTGGGAACAGTGCAGTAGGGACCTGGCTGTCCAGGGGCACGTGGTTCGGTGGCTAAATCCCATATCTCTCCAGTTGCCACTCTATGCTGCAAGACGTGCATTGGGCCCTGTGTGATTGGTTCCTTCTGTGTTTTTCTCAGTCGCAGGGTCTGTGCTTCTTCCACACTGTCTCTTTTCTTCCGGTTCCCCCTCTGCCTCTTTCCCACATGGCCTTTGTATGTTTCTGTGCCTTTTTTTTTTTTTTTTTTTTTTTTCTTGCATGGTCTCTTCCATCCCTCCTTCTTTGGACATCCACTCTCCTCTCTTTGCATCTTGCCTGGCCTTTTTTCCTGCTTGCAAGAGCCGAGAACCCTCCTAGATCCTCTCAGGAAACCCTGGTTCCAATCCCTCCAGCTCCCAATCATCCACACTTGGTGGAAGACCAAGGCCGATGTGCATAGTTGCCAGTGAGCAGAGTTTGTTCAAATGCAGCAGAATTCTGCTCTCCCTCTGAGGGTGGAAAAGACATGCTAACATGTATTCTTTGGCATTTGGTTTTATTTAGTAATAAGTGTAAGCTGGCTTCATTTCTCTAATTAAGGTACTAATGAAGATTAGAGAATTAATGAGCACCCAATAGACGGGAAACTCAGGGCGGACACATTGCAGGGACTCCATCAATTGTCGCTGTTCCTGTAGGACTCTGTGACAGGCTTCAGGATCTGGAAAAGTACGAAGCCAAAGGTGTGGATAATCAGCCATTGACTGAGAGGATTTACTGTCATTTGTTGAGTTTATCCAGGTCAGCAAAATAAAAATGTTAAAAGGTCAGGATATTTATTCAGGGCATTGGCTGTACTCAAACCGAGTTGTTATGTAAAATAACTGATGTTTCTGTGGCCTCTGAGGAAGTAGTTACGAGGTGGGGGTGGGGCAGAGAGAGAGAGAGGGAGAAGCAGACTCCGCATTGAGCGGGGAACCTGACCCCAGGACTCACATCTTGACCCGAGCCAGAGGCAAAGGCCCAAACAACTGAGCCACCCAGGCGCCCCAGTAGTTGAGTTTCTTGAGTCTGTTACTAATCGAGGGGCAACCAAGCCACCAAAGTCACCGTTCATTTGCTCATTCAGAAAAATGTTTATCGCATACTCGTTATGTGCCGAGCCGAGCGGAGGGCTCAGAGGATACAACCCAAGACCCGGCCACGCCCTCAGGGAGTAAAGTGTATGATAATTGCATCAGTGTCCCCAGGTACTCCAGGAGAGCTCTGCATGACGGTCTGTGGGGAATTAAAGGAGAGTCACTGGGTTTAAGGAGGAAGGAAAAGTCTTCACAGGCGGCAAAGTGGGAGCAGGAAGCATGGGGCAGGCGGGCGTGCAGGCCTGCATGGAAGCCCCGTGAAGGGGAGCAGCGTGCCAGGTGGAGAAGCACACAGCCCCACTGGGCTGGAAGCAAGGGGCAGAGGAGGCCGGCCAGAGAGGAGGCTGAGAGGCCCCAGCGGGCAGCTGGGGGAGCCCTGAAGGCTCTGTGAAGGGGGTTTCATCTTCGAGGCAGTGAGGGCCACCAAACATTTGACACGGAGGAGGGGCCAGATCGGAGTCTCACCATCCTAGAAGCAGCGCTCTGGCAGCGAGTGGAGGATGAGCTGGAGAAATACACGGCAGAACTTGCAAACTGGGCCGTAATTACAGTGGCATAGGCCAGAACTGGCGGGGGCGCAGGGTGTCAGTGATAGGGTGATGCTTAGAAGGTAGGTGAGGTTGATCAGTTGTATGGGGCCAGAGGGTGGCCGTCAGAAGACGCTTCCCAGCCAGAGTATGGGATATAAGGGCAGTTTAGGACATGCAGAGTTTGAGGCGTGATGGGACATCTGGGTTTGCTGTGACAGGTAAGCAGTTGGGTATTCAGTGGGAGCTCCAGAGTGTGCAGAATTTCCAAAGCATAACTGAACCAGAGACTGAACGGGCAGTGGAGAGGAGATGGAGAGGGAGTGACACTTGGCACACCAGAGAAATTTCCAGTAGCTATGAGCAGACTTGGGCTGGGTTCCCCACCATGACATTTACTGTGTGACAGAGGCGGGACCAGGTGGTGCAGCCCTGAACCCGATGACATTTGGGGAGCCCTCTTTAAGACCTTAATGGATAGTCTGCACATGAAATAAGAATAGGCCTGGCGCCTGGGTGGCTCCGTTGGTTAAGCGACTGCCTTTGGCTCAGGTCATGATCCTGGAGTCCCAGGATTGAGTCCTACATCAGGCTCCCCGCTCAATGGGGAGTCTGCTTCTCCCTCTGACCCTCTCCCCTCTCATGCTCTCTCTCACTTTCTCTCTCTCCAATAAATAAATAAAAATCTTAAAAAAAAAAAGATTAAAAAAATTTTTTAAAAGAAATAAGAATAGGCCTTTGCAAGGGCTGGAAGACGAAGAGATGCCTGAGTTTCATTAGCCCGAGGAGTGTCCTTGTCTGCAAAGACGCGGGGTGGAACCTGCAGGAAAACCAGACCTAAACCGGAGCCATGGTTGAGGAACCATGGTTGAGGCCCGGCGGCAGGAACATGGCAGGGAGCCTCTTCCTTCTGACCCCCAACATCAACACCACTGTCAGGAAGAGGTCGTCTGTTATGTGGAAGGCACTTGTGAGTCTCTGGGGATGCGGCCTGCACTCCTGGCACCTGAGCTGTGCGTGTATGGAGCTGCGCGGGCCAATGAGGAGTCACACAGAAAGTGCCCGAAGTCGGTCTGCACTGCTCCAGGCCGGCCTTCTGCAGGTGCCACAGCCGCCCGGCTCCACTCTGCCCCGTCTCTGGCCCGGCCAGTTCCCCAATGCAGCCAGAGTTCGAACTGGCATCCATCTGTGCTTCCCTTGTGAACTCGCGGAAGGTAGCTGGGCTCGGCAGGTATGTCTGGCAGCGCCTCTGCACGCGGGGAGAGCTGCAGGGCCCCAGAACCCAGGGCGCAAGGCAGCCGGCTCCTGGGAGGGCGGCCTTCCAGCAACACCACGACCCCTGCTCAGAGCCCAGGCTGACGGAGCTCCACTGCGGTAGGCCCCCAGCGTGGCTCAGGAGACTGGGAGTGGCGCCCAGTTCTGCTCTTGGAGGCCCTTCTGTAGCAACAGCTGCACCTCCAGCCCCGGCAGAGGCCCTGCCTGACACTCTGACCCAGTTACCGCAGCTTTGTCACATGCACCGCCATCCTAAGAGCCAACATTCAAGTAGAGGCAGCGACAGGCTGAGCCTGCTGCCTTTCTTTCCGACGGCCTGGAGGCATCCTCTGGTATGCATCAGCAAACCATCCACACAGCCCAGGAACTCAGAAGCTGCCCGTGAGAACCCATTCAAGTGTTCCCATATGATCCACTGAAAAAGAGGGGGGTGGGTAGCTGATCGCTGTCCAGAAATGGGTGGGACCCTGGCTCATTCCAGCGTCTGTAGTTGGGTGCGCTTTGCCATTTGTGGTCACAGAGTCTCCCCTAAATTGCTTAATCGTCACTCTGAGCCCCTGGTGGCTTTGGGTGACATGGAGTAAAACACAGAGTCCCTCACGGGTGGAGTAGAGAGAACATGGAAATCCTTTCCTAATCACACGCTCCTACCTGCTACCTGAACCTTCTACACAAATGGGCTCCAGCTTGCGGAAGCACAGCCCCAAATACAAGCTGTTGCTGTTTATCAGGAGAAAACCAGCTTCTTTGTCCTCAGGGCACACGTGTCAGGAGCAGCTAGACACGTGGGGACACCTGAAAAGGGTATTTTGGCTTTTGTGTATGTTCAGAAGCTCAAGACCAACTTCAGAAGTTTTTTTTTTTTAATTTTTTTAAGATGTTATTTATTTTGAGAGAGAGAGAGAAAGCACGCACATGAGCGGGGTGGGGTACAGAGGGAGAGAATCTCCAGCAGACTCTCC